TAGGTAATTCTGAAGCATTATTAGCAAACGCATGTTGCATCCGTATCAACTGTGAGCTATTATAACCCTTTCGGTTTGTGAAACATATTTCCCTTAAAAATTTGAAATAATATGTCAGTCATTAGAGCTATGATATCACGTTTAGTGTCCAGCTGACATATTTTTTGTCCGTACACTTCTCGTTTCAAATAATCTCACAGAATTCAATCTTACTGAAACTTTTTCTTCGCTGAAGGGTGTATTCTATGTCTGTAGCACAGAGGGCATCACTGAATGGTTTCCTCATTGACTCTTTAAGGACAATTCTACCATTCGAATAGTATTCAGTGCATTTTTCTTCAAGACAACTGAACCTTAAATGTATAAAGAAATCTGCCGCTCCTGATTACTCTTTTCTCAATTACTAACTATCCGACGACCAACGAGAGGCTTAAGCTGCCACCACAATGGTAAAAGAAAATAGGCTCTGTCATATGACGCAGACCGGGTATTTTGATCACTGGCGCCTTTGGGACGCAGACATTAAGCACCGCTGACACAAACTTTATTTTTCACACACATCATCCTCGGATGTGGCTAAATGCTCCATTCACCATGAACACAAGTTCACCTTCTGAAACCATCGGCCGTTTAATAAACGCCATGCCACTTGCTGTCCAGAAAATAGACGGCACAACTAACCCTATGCTGTCTCTTCGAAGATCAATTTCGAATCCGTTAATTTGGCCAGCTTTATTCAATTTTCAATGCAGTTTGCGACTGGCCTAGAAATCGATCCGGTAGAAAATAAGTGCTAGTTTATAACAGCCTAAAATATGTTTTCCTAGCTCTTGGGCTTGAGTGAATCAGCTCTTTCAAATCAAGTATATATAGTGAACAGGGTTTCCTTCTTTATCTGTAGTTTATTACATTCTAATGTTGCTAGCAGCAATGCGTAAGCAGTAGATTTTGTTTTAGGCTTTGTCATGTCCAGATGCGTTATCTGTTGTTAAAATGATCGTATTTTTCGAAATCACTGAAATGGCGAACATATGGCTGGGTCGTCGCCCAACCGCGAATATCCACGTGAACGTTTGTCATGCGACGGTTGTGCGTGACAAGGCTTCGGTGAGTGAGAAAGCGACTTGATTCGATGACACTGACCACAACAGTGACCACTCATTCACGCCGCGAGACAGATGTAAGCGCGGGAAGCTGAAACTGCAACGTGTCGTCGTCACTTACAAGTTTTCTGGTATTTTGGCAGAGTTTGCACCGGCGAAACTGACAGCTCCGAGTGAACAGGGCTAACCAGGCGTAGACGATACTCAATTTCCGGCTCCGTCGGGCACTTCTCCAGGACGTACACCTCTGATCTTCCTCTACTTGCCTTTTCTTCGTCGCGGCGTGCGTGATCCTAAAAGCAATAAAACGTCACCAGAAACACAGACATTTGCTTATTTATCCCGAAAAGGCATTTCACCGTCACCGAAGGTTGTTCAGCTGCTTCGTCGGCGCCGAGAGCGAACGTCCAGCAGCCTTCAGCAAAAACTCC